TGTGGAACACCATTCGCCAGACGAGCAGCCATTTTTGTGGGTTTTTACTTTTGGAGCAAATGGTTATACTTTTATATGTTACATACATGTAGACATGCATACGTGTATATAGTGACGGGTTAATGTGCAGAGACACTGCCCCTTTACCCCTTTTTTTGGCATCAGTCACAATGGTTTCAGATGGAAATATTTACTAGTGAAAACTAAATCCAGTAGATGGCGATAATTCAATTCAAATGAAGAAAAACGGAAAAAAAGATGGAGAACAGTGAGTGGAGGCAGCTCATAGGTGGAGGAGGGAATTCAAATCAAGTTAGAAATATAAATGAGAACAGAATTAGAATAAACTAGTTTCTAAGCTATCTGTGCTAAACGGGATTTATTGCTCCCTCTGCTGGAAACCTACATGCTGTGATCATTCATACGCAAATCCAAAATGTTTGCACATTCTATAGTAAATAATAATCTTCAGTCACAGACACAGTCAGTGTGGTCAGTGACGAAACAGTTCCTGTCAAACATGGACAAGTACTGATGCTCTGCTCTGCTTCAGAAACAACTGAGAGAAGACTGGAACAGTGCAACACGCCCCAGTGTTTTGTTGCTGTCTCTCAGCCATGTGGGGAAAAATATTGCCATCAGTTTTTTTTCTGTCTGTGTACTCAGTCATACACACTGTCACACTGAAAAAGCACGGAAGCGTCAGAACTCAACACTTTAACAATTGCATATTTAAATCCAAATAATTTGTATCTTGATGTAATCCAGTGCAGGAGGGGTGTAGTCTATGTTTCCTATATCCATATATGTATAAATGTAAATATACACACATATATTTGCACTATATTTACACATATATACATATATATGTATATATATTTATATATAAACCCCATGTATATGGGGGTGCTATGCAGAAAGTAAATTATTCTTCAATTCAATGATCCTTAATATATACATGCATGTACATATATAACCTGTTTATATCTATCAATGTATGCATGTATGTATGTATGTATATATATTAAGTGGGGGGAACGCTGTACAAGGATGATAACAATTAAATAGTACTGCATGTTAACAATGCTGCTAAATACATGCATAAATATAACAAACATGTCCATGTCCAATCACTTCGTGGGCATCTTTTTTTCCTACGTGACGTTCTTTAACATCCATTCTACAATTCCACCGCATCAAACGAACATGTCTTCAATAAACACCAGCGCCACGAGAAGCTGCTGAACGACAAAGCTCCAGATTTTTTAATCATTATTCTTTCACCCACATAAATGATCATAACAAATGACAATCTCTGTGCAGAGAAGAGAAGGGGGGGGGGCACAATAGGGGGGGAGCCTGACAGCCATTTCCACAACAGATGTTTTTACAGAGGGGTGTCTTCTCTCCACTGAGCAGTCTCACACATGAGAGACCCCCAAAAGCTTCAGAGAAACGTCCAGAAAACCAACATGTAAATTTGTAACTGCCACGTCTCAGGCTGGCGGGGGCCACGCCAATTTAATTTCTGTTTGAAAAAAAACCCAAAAAAACAAAAAACAAACAAACAAGAGGGAAGCGCGAAATAAACACATCAACGCGCAGGAGTTTCAAAAAGACAAAGGGACAGAATTAGAACTTCAATATCAGGGGGGAGGTGGTGGGAGGGGGACGGGGAAGGGGGGGCAACAGACAACATTGTTATGTGTTATCATGAAAAGATGACTCGCTATTGATCCAGGCTGGGGCAGAGGCTGCACTATTGACAGGAAGACAAAATATGTTGGAGGGGCAATTTTTCATACATTTGTCCTGTTCACTCCATCACTGTGGGGTGAGGGTGAGGGTGAGGGGGGGTGTTCTGGGCTGTATATAATAATACGTGTGCTCTTTATTTCCCTTCAGATCAATGGTAATGTTGGGGGGGGGGTGTCGCTAAGATGGATGCTGGAGGCAGGTTAACCTATCGACTGGTGAACAGAGACACACACAGGACAGGACAAGGGAGAAAAAGCAATTTACTGGCTGTAGTTCTGGTCTGGAACCCGACCGCTTCTGTTGTATCGGATTTTACTACAGCCACAAACATTTATTAAAGTCAAAAAAGTGAAAAGTTTGTTACACTTTTTTACACTACACCATTTTGGATGAACAATGTAACCTTGTTTGTCTCTACAGTTTTTTTAGTGACCACTTCCTGGGATCAGGAGAAAAGAGACAGACAGGATGACAGACCAGTCCACAGAGTTAGCCCAGATCTGGATCAGGTCAGTCTCACCTACTAATCTCATGCTCCAAGTCTCTGCAAGTTATTAACCTGCAGCTTATGATAATAGGTTACAAAAAAAAAAATCAAAAAAAAAATGTTTTAATTGAAAATATTTCAAACCTGTGCACAATAACTCTTTGAATGCTTCGACACGGAGCAGAGAGGGGTGAAATGATGATCTCTGATTGGAGATAAGTGGCGACTGTGAGGCCTCACATTGTGAGAGTTTCAATTAATTAAACTGCACTAAGCTTGAATTCACCCTGTAAATGCACCTTTTGTGCCGCGTTGGAAGGGAGATGTGTAAAAGTGTTTAATATTTTCAGCAAATTCTCCACTTTGAATAACACGCTGATCCCATTTCTGCTGCACAGGTGATTAAACAGAAGAAGAAAAAAATATATATATATATCAGATAATTCTCATCCATTCTATTGTGGATGCTGAGCCACACCTTCGCAAAGAAACAATAAAATCCAAATATGAAGTCACACTGGCTGAACTGCAAGTGGAACGTTAATAGAATAAAACTGTTCCAACAGACGGCACTGAGCATTATTGTTGAAAGTTGGGTGGGGAATGAGGAGGGGGTTAATTAATTTGGCAGTAAATCATTCAGTGTTTTGGTGACTCTGGTGATGAAATGTCATTTCTTTTTGTTGAGACCCCCCTACACACACACACACACACTGACCCCCCACCTTTGCCTGTGTGAAAATAGAAATCTGTGCCACCAGTACAATGTCCACATTATTTGCCCTTGACACAACACTGTTGCAGGACCAGCCTGACTCCTCCATAGAGAAACATGTAAACAAAGACACTAACTATTACCTTCCAATTTTTACAATGTTATTGTCTGTGTATTATTTCTGTTGTTACTTTTTTCTGAATTTATGATTCATAAGAAACCAAAAAGACTTTTACAATATCACATTCCACCTGCCAAAAGACACTGAATTCATTTAAAGTTGAAATGTTTAGCCTGACATCCTTTTTCCATTTTCCTCTCTGGCTTTACAAAGTTTTATGGTTTTCTTACATATGTAAACTATACAAGATTGTACTAGATGTTCGAATAAAAATAATCAAAGAGCCAAATATAACCTTTTAACAAAAACACGATAAATATTTGACTTTAAATGCAGTAACTGTCGTTTTTTTTTCTTCCCTGTAAGGCAGCGGCTAAAGGTCTGTCTCGACAAATAACTCAATGCTGCCATCTAGTGGCAAGATACGGTAAAGCGAGGACATTCGACCGTAAGATGTCATTGGTTCTGTTAGTCTGTATTTATTTATAAAAACTAAATGAACTAATATCAAAAGAAATTGAAAACAGAAGAAACATTACGTAAATTAAAGATTTGCCCATCCGAATCACGTGACTGTGACATTTAAACACCACTACAGAAATGGTACTGGGAGTGTTAAGAGTGGAGTGATTTTGTTAACATGCAAATATGTAAAGATTATGTTTGGTTTTTTGGGGGGTGGCGGTGGGAGGGGGCAATTCATTTGAAAAAATGTTAGTTTTCTTTTACAATAGCTTCAAACCACGTGCACCCTGCTCTCTGTCTCCTGTATCTCAGCCGCACCTGTCTAGCCATGATCTCAGGGTTCAACCAGAGTTCAGCCAAGTCCAGAATTGTTCTTGTTTGTTTTATCAGTGGCCTGTACCATATTTCCTGATGAATTACTACAGCTGACAAGAGATACCGCCGAGGGAGCTAGACAACAATTGCGTGGGCATTAATGATTTACATGTACATATCTGCATTAATACCAACACAGACGGAGGTAACTGAGAGCGGGATCTGATGGCACCATTGATGCTGCCTCAGATAACACCTCGATCATCAACTATGTATGGATCTGGCAAAAAAGGTATAAGGTAATGTCCCAGTGAGAGTAGACTGACTGTTTGCTGGCATGTCATGGAGGAGAACAGAGATGAAGCAGAGAGTCAGGAAACACAGAAGGTTCCACAACACTGCTGACTCTTTTAATAAAGCTAATTTGCTTTAAAATGTCTGGTGGAAATACTTCAATGTCTTTCTTTTTAGGTGTGCTGCCTTTAATACATATCAGTAAAGATAACAATCTGAGCCAGTGAGATGAATTACACATGCTGCTTTATAACATTCAATGTCCAATATGGTCTCACGGTTAGAATTTCTGGTTCTCACCCAGGTGTTGTGAGCTCAACTCCCGGTATTGGAATTATACATTTACAAAAGTAGAGATAAGATATTTCTATCCATAAAGTACAGCATCAAAGCTCAGTACTACCACTAAATCATGATACCTTTAGTGTCACAATGTTTATCAGGGAAAAAAATAGACTGAAGTTTACAATACGGGTCATCCTCCACGTTAGAAGTGGAAAAACATGTCAAAAAATAATTATATTAAAAAGACACACTGCTCTTTATTAGATGTTAGATGGTGATACAACATGGCCGCCTGCATGGACTATGTTCACTTCGGATGTAAATTGGGAGAAAAAAATTTTTTTTTACTTCTTCAAAAAAATGTTACTCTTGTGTGGCCTTATACCGATTTAGATGTTAGTTGATAGTTAGTTTTTAGCAATACAATACAAATTAATTCCCAAATACGTTTACCAAGTTCTCAACCTGTCCCGTAAAAGCGAGATTTTAAACAACGTCATTCAAGTACTCACCGAAAGAGGAAGGCGGAGGGAGGTCAGGACGCATTTCAAGCAGGAAATGACGTAATAGTGTTTTGAATTGTGTGGGCCAAAACCTGCGCACAAATAAAGATTCTGCACCCACGACTGAGCAGCTTCACCCCTGTGATATATAGGGATTTTCACAGATACATGTCTCCATAATTTCAGACAGTAAGTTAAACAGTATGAAAATTTGCACTAAAACATAGCTTAGCATAGTTTTTGCATGCCGCCTTCTCCGTTAGCATGTTCGTTTACATCAAGGTACAGAGCTAACCCGAAGCTAACGGTCTAACAGTATCCCAGCCATGGTTAATGTGCAAATATTAAAAAGTAACCGTGTCTGTGAGTTTCGTGCGAATTGGAATTGACGTGAGGGTACAATGACAACTTAGCGGAGATTTAGTTTGTAACATTTCCCGCATGAATAATCCACAGCCACAACAATGAACAACACAACAGCAGATCGACGTTATTGTGACACTTGAGCTTCAGCATTGTTGATAACGTTTGAAGCGTTTGTCGAACGTGTTAGGCTTGTTGGAGATTATTGTGATGTCCAAATGTTGGAGGTTTATTAAATGGGCTAATTCGTTCAACCAAAAGGAGTTCATAAACTAAAAGTGAAACCTGACCACGGGCTGCTGACTATGTCTTATACAAACAGGCTTTTTTATAAGATACGTGAACGTACTTTAGCTGGGTTTCAGCTCTTAGGTAATAACTGATGTTCTGTATTTAGTTCAGGGCAGACAGCTGCTGTGTGACTGGTTATTTAAGGTCCATAACTGTTCTTCCTATGTAACTCTTTACGGCAGCACTTCTACTACACAGAAGAGTAGGAGAGTGCAATGGAACTCCACAAAATCATCCACAGTGCCATGCACGAATTTATTCACGCTTATATCCCTGATGCAGATCTCAGGTAAACAAAGACCAGTTTTATCTCTTGCATTCTTTCGGTTAAAGTGTTGAAAGTTGCCTTTTTTATTTTTTTTAAACATTTGATTCAGTGCACTGGATGATGTTCTCCTCTCCTACATCACTGGAGTTCTGGAGGACCTTGGCTCTCCACACAGTGTGGAGGAGAACTTCGATGTGGAGGTTTTTGCAGAGATGTTAGAGGCTTACATCCCTGGATTTGCTGAAATTGACAGGTAAACAATACTTTACGTGTTTCAACGTATATATTCATTTTCCAATGTTAAACTTTATTATTATAGCATAATATACTTATCTGTTATGAGTCGTGATGGCATAATTAGTTTTGTCTATATAAAAGTTGTTGGTGATTAATTGTTATATCTCTGGCATATTTTTGTATTAAACAAATATCTGGGTTTTTTTTTTTGTTTTGTTTTTTTGCAGTGTTAAAGTCTGTGAAATGATGTTCAGCCTGGCTTCAAAACTAGCTTCTGCTCGAACAACAGGTATTATAACTTTCATAATTTCTGGCTACACCTGTAATACTGGACTAACTACATGATTAATATATAAAAATCACAAAAATAATAATGTAATTCAAAACATGTACATGCACATTTAACCTGCACATAAAATAATTTGTTAGACCCGTTATAAATGGAAACCTTTCTGTCATTGTATTCCAGCCGAAGAAGACAGTACTTTACCTAAATCAGGAAGCGATGACGTTTCACTAAAACTCACCTCATTGAGTGTTGACGTTGCATCAGGGAAAGAATTGGACTGTAGAGAATCACAGACAGAGGGCGCCACTGCCAAGGTAATCATTTTAATCCAGTGTCTCCTTATTAATGCTGCTGATTGAACTTTTCTGTTGAACTCAGCATTAGCATTAAAACTGTGTTTGCATGCAGCTACCAGTGTCTGAGTGGGAAGCCCAGGAGCAACACCTGCTGGAGATGTTTCCCAAGTGTAGCGTCTCCGAGGCCCGGAGCGCTCTGTCCATCGCCAAAGGCGACATGGAGGAGGCGGTGCGCCTAATCATAGAGGGAGACGTCCAACTGAATCCCACTCCTAATGTGCGTCTGCCTCTAAATCCCCCACTATGTGTTAAAAATATGACTAAAATTTGTTATTTTTTTCCCCTCAAGGTTAATCAAGGGAAAGGTATTTCTCACCTTCCTGACCAGAAGCTCAAAGAGAGCATCCTGGAGAAGTGAGTGAGACTGATTTTGTTCAGTGGAGATCAGATTGAGATTTGCTGCTTGTGTTAATGACTCTACCTCTGCTCCGCAGATACATGTTGGTGGACAGCGAGGAGGACAAGAAAACGCACAGACCTGTCGCTCCTAAAGATGTGAGTCTCCCCCTGGTTTCATCGCTCAAGTGAACGTGTGTTTTTACAGTAGCCAACCCTGTGTTGTGTTCTACAGGCCCCCAAGAAATTAGTGCGCTACCACGGCAACCAGGTGGTCACGACGAAAGGCGAGCGATATCAACTCGTGAAGAAGAACGAGACGGAGGAAATGAAGAAGACCTATGTGAATCTGAAGCCTGCCAGGAAATACAGGTTCCATTGATGGCAGGAGCAGCAGTGTGAGAGCAGCTACTGACAGTACTGTTTACAGAGATAACTACGAACTAAAACATTTACCCTGACATTGGTTTAGTTTCATTTACCCCCAGGAACTCGTTTCATTTGGTGACAGTGGCTTATTTGAGGACATTACATGTATATTTTTCAGCCCATTTGTGTCGCCGTTTATTTACTTGAGTAACCTCTGGACATTGTTGAATCTCGTCTTCTAGTTTGTGCGACGGTGTAACTTAATGTTTCGTCATCTCAGCAGGTCTGATGTTGCACTGATTGTGTGTTCTTAAACATTTATATTAAAAGTTTGATTTTAGCATCTCTCCTTTATATGTTAACTTCAATACACGTTCATAATTATGGTTTAACACTATAGGAACAAATGTTTTGGTTTTCCTTTAGTTTTACTGGTGCTGTAAAATCTTAGCTGCGACAAGTCATTTTTTCTCTCTGTGCCAAATTTATTTAATGGTCCAGTAACATTCAAGATACTTGGCTTAAATTATATATGATGCCGAAAAATGTGTTTTCAAGTATATTATGTGTTCAAAAGAGATACTTTTTTCTGTTCATAGCTTTAAAATATTGTTTTAAGTACTTTTTGCAAAGGCATCGTCTTTTTTAGCAGTAAGTGACTGCACAAAACACAAATTGATTTATTTTGATTTCTGCACTAGCGCCCTCTATTGCGCCGTGGTCTCTGACGCCATCACGTGGAGACTTAAAAACCTGCAGCATGTTTTAATAAAGAGTATCTATTTAGAACGTGTGTATGTTTTTGTTTAAGTATCGATAGTTGGCGCCAATATATTGATAACATTCGACAAATATCACGATATATCGTAGTACTGATATTTTGGCACACCTCTAGGGAGCAGTGTTTACACTGGACTTTCTCTTATCCCATCATGCTTGAGTTGTGTTGTGTTCATCTTGTTCATAGGTAACCTGTTGATTGGATGAAAATGATCTTGGAAATGTAAAGTATATTTAGATACATTTTTTCTTAGCCTAGCCTAGCATCAAATAAAGCAAGGTTAAGTGATGACGTGCAGTTAGAAGTCATGGGACGAACAATTTGGAATTATTTGATGTCAGAGCAGGTTATTACGTTAAATTGTCAAGTTGCTGCTCATCTTTCAAACGGCACTCGCTTTATTTTTGATACAAATATTTAGATTTGCAGAATGATGTTTTTGGTCATCTGACTGATGTGACTGTAATGGTTGAGTTTTACTTCATTGGTGTGTCTTTTTTAATGAATTATTTTCTTCGTGCCACATAAATATGTTGTTTATATTCTTCCTCTTTATGGCTTTTTAAATAACAGCAGTATCCGTTGTGGTTTTATTGGATGTTTTTTGTTTTGTTTTCCTGAGTAGATGTAACACTGTGGATGGACAAACGGTGTGTTGTGACTGATACTCGTGTATATTAGCTGTGTGGGTTTTTTTTCACTTGCTGTGTGACGGTGTTACTGTAGAGCATAGACAGTATTTACTGAAGTATTTATCGAAGGCAAAGCTCACTTTTAACCAATTTACTGAGAAAATGCGTACGCACAATTTGTAGTAAATAAATAGTTTTTTTTAACGACAGTTTCAAGTGTTTTTCTTTTCTTCTTCACCTGAATACATCAACTGTAACAAGGGTGAATCATTTCACTCAGCCTGTAGTGTCACTAACATACAAGTATTAACAAAAAACAAGTTTAAACTTAGCAAACAAACTTTAATCAGTGGTGAACACACACTCTGTTTTCAGAACAGCATTTTTACCTGTTATGCTCACATTCAAAGCCATCAGTGCCCAAGTGAAAACATTTGGACTGCAGACTTTTTTTTTCTTAAATTCATGTTGTCACATTTAGTGGCCTATGTTAAGCAAAGGCACGCAGTTAACATGTTTATGGAGCAACAGCGTCACACTGTGGAAGCAGAAACAACTTTTTTTTTAGAGTGCAGAATTTTACAAAATACTCACGCATGTCACTGCACTTTACAAGTTCTGATTGTACAACCTAACAGGTGCAGACCCGTGTTTTCCTCATGGACTAAGTGCTTCGATGTAAACGTTGTTAACGCCACGGGCTGTCAGACTTTTCTACATTTAAAGGCTCTGGGAAAGCACTTTTAAATTATGGCTGAGGAAAACGGACACAGCTTAATCTCTGAAGATCTGAACACTTCTATGCCAGATGCAGGTTTTCAAGTGGAAACAGAGTTCTGTTTTTACTGCACTGAAAGTGAATCCCAGAGCTGCTTCACTTAATACTTCTGTGTCCGTTAAACACAACTCTCACCGCTACAACAATTAAGTGCAAACTTTTTTTTTTTTACTAATTATACTTACTGTTTAAGAAAACACCTGTAATGAAGTTCCCAAAAATTTAAATTTACTTCAAGTGAACCTTTGAACCATGAACAATTAGGACACTTGCTTTAAATGCAATGAAAACTAAAATCTCTAGTTCTTTATTTTAGAGATTTTTTTTTAAAGATTTCTGCTTTTTGTATTTATTTACCAGGCAAATTAACAAGTAAGAAATGTGTGCTTTTACTAACAAACACACTCTGGGATGTTTCCCTATCAGTATGATATCATGTCTTATACTGCAGAAAAGAAAAAGATGTGACTTGGGTGATACAGAATGGCAGGCCTGCCTGCAGTCCAGCTCCATCTCTGATATTAAAAATGTCCAGGACTACAAAAATAAGGACAATCGGGAACAAATAAATTAAAAAAAGTAAAAATACTTGGTTAGAGGAAACAACAAAATCTTTTTCCCTGTAAACTAATGTTCAATTTCATTACTATAGGGCAGATTTTAGTTACTATTGCATCTTTAGGAAAACGTACCAACTTTTCCTAAAGTGCCGTTTTGTAATAATCGCAACCAAAATTGCACAATTTAAATTTTTGTCTGTGCTTCTTGGACTGTTTCTGGACAACAGGATAGCACATGCAAAAAAAGTCTTTACAAAAACAAATCAAGCAAGAGCATAAATTAAGTACAAGGCGATCAATGTGCTTGAAAAAATATTTAGCAGCAGGTCATCACGTATTCCTTCAGTTTAATCTACTTAAATAACCCAGGTGTATTTTGATCACCGATCTAATCTCAGTCTTTTATTACTGAGTCTATTTTTTTCTTCTAATTCTACCGAATTAAACCTTCTCTGATGGCTCCCAGACGTCCTGTGAGGAGTAAGCGTTGATATAATACAGGTAACACAGATACATGAGTGTATACACAGTCCGACCTGTCATCTTTACAGTTAGGGATCAGTCTTTGTGACTACCACGGGGACTCTAAGATGAGAATATAAACGTCATAGGGCAGTCTTTGTGACTACCACAGGGACTCTAAGATGAGAATATAAACGTCACTAATCTAACCTTGACTGTGAAAACCTTTGTCTTAACTAAAGTCTACGGTATTAACGTAAAACCCCTGACGTATCCATTAGTGGTCGAAGTATCGAGGTTTCTCCACATGGTACCGATGTCATGCAATGGTTTGGAACTGGGTGAACATGTGCACCCACAAACCTATGAGCTTCAACTATGAGAGTGTGGATGGAACACTGACACGGGGAAAAAGGAGAAAAAAAGAGAACAAAAGCTCTTCAAGTAGCGTGAAATCCCAGTCGGACGTTTCTCTGATACTCGTCCTATCCAAGAGAGACGGACGTTTCTCTGATACTCGTCCTATCGGTGATGACAATGGCACTCGAAAGAGGTGACTGGGAAGCAAGAGAGTTTGAGACGGCTGCTTATTGCCATGCAGCTATCTATGTAGCTCCAAAGTCTGCATATGACATCAAAACACTCGGCAGTCACACATCCAAACGCATACGGGGATTTACAGCAGTCTACGTCAAGGTTTTACAGGTGCGTCTCTAACTGAGGCCGTGATCGTATCTACCCTTGATCATCGCTGTCAGTAGAGGACCAACCTGCAGAGCAAAATATTCTTGGTCAGTCTTGACAGTTTGTTGTTTTTAGAGCTACTGGTTCTTTTTAGACTTCAATCAAAAATATGTACATACATATATGTGTATCAGTGTATATATTGGTATATATGTGTATAAATATTTATACATATACTTTTTTGAGGGACATAGACTTCAGACAGCAGACACATTATTTTCAACATCCTCATATCATTCAAGACTGCATATATATTTCATCTGAACTAATTCTGGTACTCCATAAATATTCAGAGTAATTAGGTCAAAGGGAGGGTCATTATGGCCAAGGGACTTCATCTCACTAGTGACCTAAATGTGGATCAGATCTGATGTCCTCAAAACCAGCATTAAGACTAAAAGGACAACATTAAGTGTGTGTTTAACTTTCTACGAAACAAAATAAATAAATAAATAAAAACATCACAGTGAAAATATAAATAGAGCCCTAACAAATGCTGCTCCAACTTTTTCCAAGGACAGTGAAAGCATTGCTGTCAATATTCTCAAGTGTTCCTTCCACCTTGTGCTCAGTGTGGGGCAGTTTTTGTCATAAGACCCCAGTTGTTGAGGTCACAGCAAATGATTGGTCCGTACATGCCACCAATATGGCGGTTAGCGTAAACGCTTATGATAGACTCAGAGGCTGCAGATTGGTTTTTTATCCGAAAAGCCAACACGTTATTAATTTCAGAGGACGTCCTTCTTCCAAGACACCAGCTCCGTCCACTGGTCTGTTTCTAAACTGTTTTGAAGGAATTTACTTCTGAAAACTTTAGTGGTTTCAGATGTTCCTGCTTTTGACAGTGCATTTCCCATTTTAACGTTGCTGTTGTGTGTCTCCTTTGCTTATTTATTTATTTATTACGATTTTTCTTTCAGTAAATTATTGGGACAAAAGCTACTGTTTCTAATCAGCATGTGTTTTTTAAAAATATAATATAAAAAATAGTTTTACTTCTCGTGGGTCCCCGAGTGCTTCTCCCAACATCTTCTCGATGTTCCTCATGATGGCCACCTTTTGATGAGCTCTCAGAGGATACTCTATCCGCCTCGGGGTGGGAGCTCCCTGAAAACAACGGAGTCGTTCAGGTGAGCGCTCACAATGTAATTACATACACACTGTAAAGACAAAAAAACGTCAGCGGCTCAGACTTACCTTGTACCAGAAGTTAACAGTGATCGTCACCCCACCATTCAGCAGTGATTCAATGTGATGCCACCTGGGGTGAATAAAGTGCACTAAATGAATTTTTTTTTTTTAAAATACCAATATTATGATGCTAAAGTTAGAATGAAAATATTTTTTTTAAATACCAATATTATGATGCTAAAGTTATCATCACGACAGTTCAGGGTCAAACCAAGTATATGAAAAAAAATTGTTATTGGTTTTACACAGAAACAACACTGATGAATGTTTTTGCAATTTTGTCAACAGTCACCTTGGAATAAAGAATAAAACAGAAAAAATGAATGTCAAGCTCCGGGACGCAGGTCTTACAGAGAGCAACACAAACGCTTGTCTGTACGAGAGCGCCAGTTACGTTTGTGTGTGTGTGTGTGTAGAAGAATATGGGGGAGTGGGGGCAAGTTGACCTCAGTACCATCACCACCTGTGAGATTATCTGGCCAACAGTAACTCAGAAACAGGGAGTATGTGCATGCAGTTGTCAAGGTCTTACAGGAAGAGGAGAACAGATAACGAGAAGCATCGCCCGTCAACGGCGAGCACACAGAAGGTCAGGCTGGTCGGTGCAGTGGGTTTTCCACTGACTACGTGACTTTCAGTCCAAGTCAAATGGTGGATAATAGCACAGAATACCATTTTGTCATAACATGAACTTCTTACCAGTACATTGGGATGTAAAGGACATCTCCTGGACCAACTACTGCCTCATAGCCAACAACATTTTTAAAATTGGGAAACCTCTGGTAATCAGGATTGTCAAAATCCACCTGGATATAAATAAAATGCAACATGTTTAATTTTTTTTTTTTTTAAGTGAACCACGTTAGTCCGTGTGTATCAACGACCTACTTGACTCTGTCGGTCACAGGGGTGATGCACGGGGTAAGGGTAAAGACACTCAAACTGCTCAGGATGGAAGAGGAGACATCTCTTATGCCCTTTAATCTGTGCAAAGAAGTTCTGCTGCTCGTCATAATGTGCCGGTGTCACGTTGCCTGAGTGAGGACAGAATGTTCATAAAATGTCAGGAGTGAAATGGCAACGTCGATGTAACATTTTTATGGTAAAGAGACTACAATCCCGTCGGCAGCCGGTGACGTCCAAACCGCTAAAACTCCTTACCTTCCATGCCTATGAGCAGCAGGTTAGACGTCAGCTGCCCCCAGTTTCTCTTGGCCTGCTGTTTGTTGATCCAGTTCCAGTTGAAACCTAGGAAGTCAACAACTATCTTCTTTCCGACTGTGTCGTTCAAGGTCTGCTGCAAATATACTCTGGAATGTGAAGAAGGAAAAGAAAAAGTGCAGATGACAACATAAACAACAGCTTCTTAGAAAGAAAAAAAAAGTAAAAACACAGGGACATTTCATAGACGTGATTTAGATATGTGAGTGGACTTGTTTGATGATTTATCTCTCTGACTGTAAAGGTCAAAGGTTCAGCTGATCCAGGTCTCAGAAATGCTATGACATCAATGCCTCAATTCCAAGTCAGGCAAGGAGCGTTTTCCTTGGTATTCCTGTCTAAACGATTAGTCATTCCTCACCTTTTCCCGTGTGGTGTGAGACAAACAACATACGCTATAAAAGCCACCTGCATAACAACATCCTGGAATTCTGTTTGTTTTACAGCTGTGTGTTAACCCAGAAGCTGTCATGTTATCCAGTACATTTAAAACCATCCAGGACTGAAAAACAAAAATCACCTTTCCTCTCCTCCCATTTCTTCAGTCTGATGCATCTTTTCCACAAATTCTGAGAACTTCATTTCCACCCGCTGAGACTTGGGGACAAAGTCCTCAAAGTTGGCCATTTTCTTCTCATCGTAGTAGAGGAACTTGTGGTTTTCTGCAATGTAAACGGAGAAGTCGCCATTTCCAATGTTCTCCTGGAGGTACGGAATGTCCCATTTCAGAGCTGGATACACCAGGTTTGTGTCAGTCAGGACCACTGGCTCCTGGATAATAATATGGAAGAAAACACGTTTTGTTCACTTTCATCACAAGTTGTATAACCTCAAGGAAAAGCTGATATATATATATGAGGGAAATAAAAAAAAACAGATTCAGGTTTTTTCTATGTGTAAATAATAGTATAAGGAAAAAAACAGATTCAGTTTTTTTCTATGTGTAAATAATAGTATAATACTGTTAATGTTTTAAAATACTGTGGTAAAAAAAACAGCACTGTGTTAAACTGTTCCTGTGAAACAGGAGGGAAATTATTTTGTTCTCAATTGTATTCAAATATGTACTGTAAGTGACCTTCAAGAACGAGAACAACAACAACGATGTACAGAATTCCCAGCTCACACAAACGCAGCAGAGCCACAGAGGTATGTTTTACTGTATGTGTGTTTGTGTGCGCGAGCGCGTGCGTGTGTCTGTGTGTATAACGTCATATAAAGGTCTACGTGACGAAGTGAACGTAGAGGGGAAATGCGCGCTCCCGCTCCTGCTGCGCGGAGCGCGCATCGTACTGCCCACAGTTTCACTTTGACTGTAAAAACGCGGGACCGCGAGTCTCGCGTGCACGCTGGCAGTGATGCTGAAGAATCACAACGCAGGTTTAGGGGACTCAGCATGTTCTGATGGCAAAACAACGAGTTCCGCCGTACTTCGATTGTTAAAATAGGAATTGTTAAAACGTCGTTGAAGCCAACGTCTAAATAAAACGCCGTAGATGAACCGGGACACACCTGTCTCCAGGCCCGTTTTATGGAGCAACTAAGAACGTCACAATTTAGGTCACTGTATTTGGTTCATGCAAATCTTTTCTTAGATATTATTCCACTTTATATACATACATACGCGCGCATATATGTTTACATATATACACACACAAACAAACAATGGACAATAAGGCAGAATATATTCTGTTTATGGTGTTTATATTTATTCAACTCGGTCAAATCTTATAGGGTTGGTATGGCGCTTTTTTGTTCCAGAATATTCTGGAATGTAACAACCTGTTTTTACTAGTAAAGTGTTGGTCAATGAACCACAAATTGCGACTTCAGTGTGAGAGAGAAGTAATGAAACACAAATAAACATACATTTAGGAGCACAATTAGAGAACTTCTACACGATCTACATCTAACACTTACACAAACTAATTTAATATTGAAAATGTCACTATTTAATAGACTTAATCAATTGACTTAATCAGTATGAATTATTATTATTATAGACCTCAAATATAAAAAGCATTTAAATTACATTTAAATGTGCAAAAATAATGTGTTTTTCTTCATAAATTTCTTCAAAATAAAAACAAAAAAATATATATTTTGATGTGACACCTACAGGTGAGGTTAGTTATATATGTAGAAGACAGGTAAATTGTTGGGGACAAAAACACTGAATCATTAGGTTTTTGATATTTGAAGTTTGTGTTGGTATGAAATGATTAAAAAACACATTGCAGATAAACTTTAAATGAAAGAAAGCTGCAGACATATTTATTTACATATAATAGAAGACACATTTTGCTATTTGTTATATTATATACTTATATATATTCAGTTTTAGATATAAAGCTGAATGCATTACATTTAAAAGAAAAATAAAAGTGTGTAATCGCTTGAATTTGATTGAACAATTGCATGTTTTTGTGACTGTAGAAACCAATGTAATGAACGAAGTTAATATACACAATGTACATTTTTACACTTTTATAAACATACACACTAAAACATATTTTCACTGTCAATAAGCAACTTTTCTCTTTTAACGAAATACATTATTCAAGCTGAACACAGAAACATGACTAAATACAGTTTAAATATCTAATAATATAGAGTTGTGATCGTTCCAGTGACTTCTATCATTTCTCCCTGTTCTGTCCTTTTGTGTTTATGTTTTCTACTTCCTCTACTAAATCCATACGAACTTTGAGTTAAACTCAATATGATTTTCCCCAACATCACCATCTGTTCCACATGCCAATCCAACTTCATTTCCCTGACTCCTATGTGATTCTGTTTTAATATAAAAATGTCGGAGATACCCAACTACTTCCTGCATCTCAATAAACTTTCTGTGTTTTCACCTCGTTGTTGATGAGCATCTCCGCTCGGGGGTCACTGTGAGACAGTCTCGGGATGGCCTTGGTCGCGAAGGGGTATTTTCGGAGCTGAGACTCGTCCCAACCGAGGTCCTGGACGCCGGAGAAAGCGGCGCCGCCTTCGCTTGTCGCCGGATCGGGCTCTGCAACGGTCGCTGCTGCCATGGCCGCCGAGCAACGGAGAGGAGCAGCTTTATCCTTCCGACCTCCTGAGCGAAAAAATCGACTCCTGAGCCAGACTCTGTCCGACAGGAGGCTCCAAAAGAGGCGGAGAGATATTAGAGGAGCTTCTCCATTCAGAAATGTTACATTAGCGGAAGAAAAGTGCGTCTGTGGCTGCACAGCCTGGTGCTGTTTACACACCAGCGTTGACAAGCAGACAACGAAGCTCCACACACTCGATATCAAGAAGACACTCGCCTCAATGAAGTGTCATATTGTCAGACAGCGACATCTGCTGCACCGAATGACCAATCGATACCGCGGTGATAATACTTTAACTCCGCTGGAGGGCGCAACCGCATTTGTTTTACCTAGAAGACATCATTTGCCGAAATTAAAAATTAAAAAATCAACACGGCAAGTTACTACAAAATAGTTGACATCAGTTGTGTTAATTGATGTGTTTTGTTATGTTGTCTTTACTTTTCTGCATTGATTCTGCTCATTACTATTGCACAGTTATTTTGGTCTCAAATGTATGACATGACGCATTAACTGTTTGATGAATAAGTTCCTTGTGTAACACATTGATTAAAAGATGGGATGATTTAGGAGTGAACAAACACTTTTGTAATCGTGAGCCACTGTTTACCTGGTCATGGTAGCTGACACAGCACGGCAGTGGTGATTGGCTGTTCGTTCGTGGTGAGATAGCTGCGCACACTGTCCGTTTGCACAGTGGAATGATCGACAGTCTCGAACTACATGCTCTCAGTAGTGATGAATAAACATTTCATTGACTAGTTTCTCGCTCTCTCTTTAAAGGGACAGTTCTAGGTTTGTGTTGTTGCAAGAAATACTTACACAGTACACATAAAGTGTGGTTGCAAGAAATACTTACACAGTACACAGATTGAACTAGTTACACATGTTAAAAATAATTTAATTAGATACTTTTCAATTGATTAATCAATTAAAATAATTTAATAGTTGGCTGACATGACTGGCAAACAAACTTCGGGTGCATTGCCGCCACCTACTGGGCTGGAGAATAGACATTAGCCTAAATAGTGTGCAAGAAAGTAGTGAACTGAGAAAGGTGGGATTAAATGTGTAGAATGAAGATATTAAAGTTTCAACCTTAATAAATGTATATAAAATTCTTACAAATGTTAAAGGTGAACTATATTTTAAAAAATCCTCAACCTCCTAATAACACAATATATTTGAACATAAAATTCAAAAGCTGAAGATGTGAAGTATTTCTTTTCCCGCGTCACACTTAATCGGCAGATTTTCAGCTCAGGACCTGGTTCAACCTCCTGCTGTGTTCCCATGCTCTGTGTTTCCTGTATAGATGAGTGGTTGAGCTGAGCTGATCCCTCGGATGCCCTGCTCCTCCCTATGCTCTGCAGATACCTGCAGCAGACTGGCCACCCCAGTGAGCCCGAGAAAACCACGTAACCCAGTCCTGCTGGTCGGGACAAACACACGCACCAACACCGGTCTGTTAAAACAGAGACATTTGAAAAAGAGCAACTGTGTAAATAAACAGTTTCCTGATGAGTGGCCACATCCGTTACCTGCTGCCACCGTAGAGTGTGAAGTCATTTAGTTGTACACCGAGTGTACGACTGAGATAATCCCTAAATAAACTGAACAACTTGCACAGGTCAGGGCAGATTCTACAGAGATGTAGAGTATCTATAAGAGTGTCTGTTTATTTAGACGTATCTCTGTTGGCTTTCTCTCACATTCCCTCTGACCCTCGCCCCTGGAGGTGTTGTAGGTCCAGGACCCTTAAGCTCCTATTAGTCAAGGATTCTCTGGAGCATTATAAGTGGTTTTCCCATCTTCCACTGATGGCATTATCGCTCACTATCTGAGAGAAATCAGCCCCTGAATGTGACCAACTTTGTTTTTTTATGTTCAACATTTTAATCCAGCATCTCATGCATTAATGAACATATAGAAATACACATATTTTCTATCTTTTTTATCTTGGTTAAAACCTTTCTGCTCCCTCCTCTGAGGTGTCACCTCTCTCTCTCGCCATCACCTCAGGTTCATGTATCATAGAAAATAGGACGTGGCAGCGCCGGTCAGAGAGACGGAAGTACAGACCCCCGTGGTCAGAGGTTGTGTCACACTTTGCGTGGGTGAGGTGGGGGAGAAAACACTGAATCGTTCACATTTTTCACATCATTTTTTTCACCCCTATTATGACTTTGAAAGTACACTGTGTATTTAAGAAAGAAGTACTGGTAGTAGTAATACTCGTAGTACAAGAGACTCATTTTAATAGCACCCGTATATATGTTCCTCATACTTATCTCCTTTTTTATCTGATCAGCAGATAGGTAACTGCAGATCACAGGCGTGTCCAAACCTGCTGTAAAATGTGGATGTGTTTTATTCACACACTGCAACGGCTGGATCAGCAGACAGGTTCACTGTGTGTCACACTGTGTGTCACTGTGTGTTCTGTGTTGAGGGTGTAAACACAGGAAACTAGACAAACTTGAAAATCTTTTATTTTTTTCCCCTTAAATATTGACTTGAGGGACTCAAACATTGACTCTGGGAGTTCACAGATGCAGTAAATACAATTAACTTGTAACAAAGGCACCCAAAAATCAAACTTTTTTTATTTTTATCATTATTAGTAGTAGTAGTCGCAGCAGCAGTACTTGTTGTTGTAGTACTGTTAGCAGTAGTAGTTATAAAGCATTATGGACAGTTCTGCATTTCACTGCTGCTGTTTTAGTTTCACTTCATGCCTGTAGGGGTCATTATAGTGTATGCAGGGTAATGATACCAGTTAACCGTGTTAAAAAAAAGTTAGTTTTTTGTAAGTAAAAGAAAGTCCTAACCCATTCTTATATAAATGTTTCTCAATATGTGGGTCTGGGTCTGAACACTGGCACTAATTAGCTGGGAATTGACTGGCATTTTATTATTTTGTCTTTGGACACATTTCCAGAGGCCGAATTTGAAGCAAATGGGCGTCAGACAAAGTAAAAATTACAAATAAATGTTCTCATTGATATTTTTAAAAGATAGTCTGATTTTAACTAAATCATTTTAAGATGATGATTTTTGATTGTATCTGATCCAGATTCAATCAAGGAACTGGATTTCAGTCCTCAGTTTAGGCAAAGAGGCAGGTTGTGACCAGAGTAATTCTGTGTTTGGACCAGGTACAGTCATGGTCATCTGATAACCCACAGTGTGATTATCCGTGTATTTTCATCATAGTTTGCGATGCTGCTTCACACAGTCACACAGGGCCGCAGGGCAAAATGACTGTGATGGCGTTTCCTTTGTTAGTGATTGGGTTTAGCTGCGTGCCATGGAGGCACAGCGATCCAGTCGACCCACCAGGGGTCATCAGAGGAGGGAGGATTTGATTATGATCATTATTCGGTAAATAAGATGTCAACAAGGTGGTTCCTTGACACTTTATTGAGTGGAGAAGGAAGGTGCAGAAATGAACGCCCCCCTCTGAATGGGCCCTCTAATCTCCTCTTTCATGTCCCGTTCCTCTGAAGGGTTTGGGCCTCAGCTGCCATGTGCTAGTCCGCCTGGACCTGGCACCTCTCACTCGCAGGTGGGGTGAGTATCTTGGCAAGCATGTGTTTATAAAACCCACTTGTTTGGGCACAATACTTGAACTAACTTCTTTTGAGCGAACAGTGTGAATCTGTGCAAAGCCTTTTCCCAAAGTCCTTTGGAAGGCGACGGCCCATTGAGAGTAGAGAAGAAGGGATTACCTTCCTCAACAGCGGTGCATTTCCGAGAGAGCTGATTAGCTCTGCATTCATTGTTAAATCGAGCAAAGGAAGGCCCTAGAGCGCTGAAAGGATCCAAATAGGTGGGCCCAGAAATAAAACAGCCGCAGGAAGCCCTGCACCAGCAACCCAAAGTTTTCCCAACATTTCTTTTCCCCACTGCTAAGGAGGTGCGGCGTGAAAAAGGAGATTAGCATACAAAATTAGAGACAGGATGATTTTTTTTTTTTTAAGGGCAACTTGCCTCATGCCCTCCGCCCCCAGGCCCTACTCTGTCTGGACAAAGTTAATTAAACTAGTATTAAACAGTAAAGAAACTGGGGAGTTAGGAGGCTCTTTGAGGATTACCACAACGAGGGAGAGAATGGGAGGTATTTGTAGAGGCGAAATTGAGAAAGGCACGATGGAAGCGCGGACTTCTCCTTTCTCCCATGTTTGGCCCGGAGTGTCCAAAATCCAAAACAAACAATGTGGATAGAAAGGACGTGTTTACTCGCGGTGTTACCGTCACAAAGAGCACGTTACAGCGGGACGAGCGCTTCTTTAGGGCAGATTATTACGTGAGATCGGAGGATTTAATTTTTTTGTTTCATTACATTTTAATATAAAAACACACAAAGGCAACTAACAATAAAGCCAAACTAACCAATGCTGTGCAATAAATTAACAATGTACAGTACAAAGTGCTTCATTCTATGTACAATTAAATACACCAAGGGGGCAGCAAAGGGCACGGACAGAAGTTTAGAATGAAAACAAACAAACAGTTGTCAAAAATAAGTCACATCAGGCCAGAGACTCACTGCACACGCCAGTGACAAAGCAGCTACAGATTTTTTTTTTAAGCATTAGTTCACACTGCCTGGAAGTCATGTGTTTAGCTGTCATCCAAAAAAGACCAAATATTACGACAAAACATTTGATTCATGTGTAAATGTCAAACACAAAAACATAAAAACATAAGAAATATAAACATGTTGCAGACACATGCAGTGTGTCTTTAAAAAACAAATTATGGAAAACTGACTTTTTTTTTTTGTATTTGGGAATGAAATAGATAAGTCATGTAATGTATTTTAGAAGAGATGTTCCAAATTTAAACAAGTTCTAAAAGGACGTCTTAACCAGTCTGTTGTGATTGGTTGTGAAGCCTCTTCGTCTCATGTGCTGATACATAGCTAATTATGACAACGGTGGCAAAAAATATAAGTATTTTTCTTTTTCTTCTTCTTCTTCAGAACACATCATTTGAACAGGAGCACAGAATCGGTCTGATGAGAAGTCGTGGTGATGACGATGGTACTCAGTGCTTCTTCCTCAGTCTCAGGCCCTTCCGGCGGCTCCCCGCGCTCTCGTTCCTCACCCTCTGACCTCCTTTCTTTACGCAAAAGTACTTTGTCACCGTCTTCCTGCACTGCTCGCACTTCACCGCGCAGCACCAGTGAAACTTGCAATTGCAGCTGGACAGCGTCTCGGCTTTGCGTTCCTCCACGGCGAGGCCGCACTCTCCACACAGCCTCTTGCAGCTGCGCTTCTCCCATTTGCTCAAATTCTTGCCCTTCTTCAGACACTCGCGACCCTCCGTGCCCGGGAAGCCCAGAGTGCGGTTTTCCAGGCAGTAGTCGGGGGAATCTTCCAAGTGGACCAGCTCCTTACGAGAGATGGAGCTAAAAGTCTCAGCGATTGCCCCTCGGCTGGCCGCGCTGTTGCCCGCCCCTCGGAGGAGATCCACCTTCAGGGCCCTGTGGTATTTCTCCTTTAGGTAATTTCCCACTTCTCTGAACTCCGGCAGCTGCAGCCAGCAGGTCTGAGTGGTGCAGCTTCCTGACACACCGTGACACTTACAGGTCCTCTGCATGGTCCCTTTAACTGCCTGAAGGAAGAATACAGAGGGAAGGAAGGTGGGTTTTATACTGAAGAGTCAAAAGTACGCAGTGATATTTACTGACCGAGTACTGTCCTAAAGAAAAACAAATATCCACTGGGTAAAAAAAAACTAACAGCCCAGGACAGACACCAACAGATAGTGGAGTTGACGATAATGCTAGGACGCCCAAATGTAGCACAGAGCTCCGCTTTTCTGTTGGGCTGTACACCTCCAATAACAGCACACGGAGACACAACAACTTTTTCAAACATTAACAATCAGTTTTTAATAAAAGTTTACTTTACTTTAATTGCATTTAGCCCCAACATATGACATATGAGTAAATATATATTAAATATATATTTACTCATATGAACTGAACATGCTTTTTTTTATATATTTATTTACTAATGATCTTCCAGAACTCCATCTGTGATCCTGATCTATGGCACTGGTCTATAAGCAGCAGGAGTGTGTGTGTTTGTGTGTCTTTTGTCTGTTGATTGACGCGTTGTCAAACACACTGACAGTATTTGTAGACACCCAACACAAAGGGATGAATGCACGGAATGAAGAAATGATAGTTTCAAAGTCCAGGACTGAGGATTTCTTTCGGTTCCTCCTCTGTGTTTCCTGACTTCACCAGACACAAAACAGCTGTCGCTTCAAAAGGAACAATTTTCTTTTTTTCGTGGAGAGCGGATGAACTTTCTGCCGAGGTGAAGCTGAATTAAGTTTCACATCGAGTCCCATTGTCCCCTCCAGAAGAAATGGGCAGTATTTATTTAGTATGTTCATTATCAACATGTTTTCCAGTGTGTGGAGACCCAACGGAGAGACCCATTGAGCTCAGAAATGAAAAAGAAGTTTTTCTCTCCTTCTATCCCCATTTTTTTCTGTTACAATGATGCTCCAGGTGCCTTGGGGATCCCAGGGCCCAACAGGGGGGAGCAAAGGCACCGTAAACAAAGAGCACTTCAGCTGCATGCCTGTGGTCCCCTCAGACTCCTCCGGAGCCAAACAAAGACCAACGTAAATGTGGGATCCTTATTGCAAGAATAAAACTAAACACTTATTTTAAAAAGCGGTCTAATACAGAATGCCGTGCAATGTCCGGCTCACCAGGATCTCTAATTAAATTTGCACCAGTGATCCTGAGATTCTCGAGTTGAGGTATTGTCATAGGGGGCATTCAGGGAGGGTAAATAGGCCCTTCTGGTACACCGAACACACTGTTATCACCGGGGACGAGTGGCACCTCACTTATAGCGCGGTGAAAAGGACGCTTGGGTGGTACACTCCACGTAATTCTGAGCAGAGAAAAATTATTCAAAAGGTGCTTTATACTGTGCAATCAGTCGGAGGGCCGCGGAGGAGAAAGAGGAAGAGTTCCATTACTTTGAGCAAGGCATTACATGGTGTGATTACTGTATGTTTTCCAACCACAAACCACATATCCCCTAATATGTGCTGTGCTCACTACAGTGTCGGTGGTAGTTACCGTACCTTGCGTCCGGCCTCGTTATTGTGAAGGTTCATGGCGGCGCGAGCATCCTGCCCCGTCTCCAAGGCGTCAACAAACTGCTTGGAGATGGCTTCTCCAAAGCCGACGTTGTCGCTGCAGCCGCCCCACAGCCAACCGTGGCCACCTGGGAGAACGGACGCAAGTTAGATGATTCAGTCCAATGAGAAGATAAAGTGAATTAAACGTGTATTTTATAACAGATTTCACCTCGCTGTCCGTTCCTGCTGTCGTCACAGCCACAGTTGTCAAAGTCTCCCAGACTGCAGTTCCTGGTTAACGTGTACATGACGCCGGCGGAGCTGATGGCATGGACGAACGCTGCCTCCCGATTGGCTGCCAACACAGAGATTTGTCAATTAATTATTTTAATTTTCTCTATATTTAATGACTTCACTAAAGGTAAAAAAAAGACCTCGTGAGAGAACCAAAACATAAATGTCCATTATATTTTTGCTTGTTTTTTTTAATGCTTTCTTTGGGTGAACTAAACCTAAAGAGTTCATCATTCTGTAAACACGTCCTTCACTTCAGTCTGGACTCACCGCTGCGCAGGCTGCTGTGAGTGGACAGCTGCAGCGCCCTCTCAGGGCAGTTCCAGCGATCCCATGCAAACTGGTATTTGCACTCCTCGATGCCGGTCTGAGCGCCTGCTGCCACGCTGCTGGAGTAGATCAGGTAAGCCTGCGGAGACAGGAGGTGGATTCTAATCCAGATGTTCTGAACACAGAACAGACCAACGACTAATGAACTACTGATTCAACATTGTTCTCCAATCAAAGCTGGTCAAGGTTTCTTTCAGTCCCATACATCGAGTCTATCAGCTGCTGACTTACAATGACCTTTGACCCGGATGAATGAGAACCTCAACAGACTTAGATCTTCTGTATTTTTTTGTAATTTGAATATTGTTTTATTTAAAATGTCCAGTAGTGGGGGAAATAAATTTAATAATTTTTTTAAAAATTTTGTTTTTTTTGCTGTCTAGCTGGAATGTCAAAGGTCAGATTGGGCCGACTGCTCCCAGTACACTGTATATCCTATGTTGAATTGAAAATCTCTTTGACAAGAGAACTCTGATGAAGATGGCAACAAGAAATTGGAAAAAAATATATATATATATATAAAAATGTAGAATCTTGATTCTTATGATCCTATCATCTGACACACATACTGCAGTGTTTACTAGAGAGTTGTCTCACTTACAGTAACATATCACTGCCTCACAGTTCATTGTATATTTAATGAAACCCAACCTCAAGAAGTGATGGAACTGAATATGGGCGAGCACACAAATACACAGAGTAATATCAGGTTTAAAACTGGAACTGTGACAACCCTACAATGAAGACTCAGCTCTTCAGAGAGCACATCCTGCCCTCCTCTGCCCCTGCACTCCTCTGCCCCTGCACTCCTCTGCCCCTGCACTCCTCTGCCCCTGCCCTCCTCTACCCCTGCCCTCCTCTGCCCCTGCACTCCTCTGCCCCTGCACTCCTCTGCCCCTGCCTAACTACTGTTCTCTTTTCAAGAGTTTCTTTATGTTAATCCTCCTCTTGTAAGTCGCTCTGGATAAAAGCGTTTGCTAAATGCATAAATGTAAACGTACATTCAAGTTTGTTTTTTTTAAAACATTTCCAAATCAGAAAAGAAAACAATATCAGTTCTCGGCGAATGGAGAGACAGATTTAAATCATCTGATCCACGGAGCGTTGTCCGCTGTGTTCCCTGCCTTCACCCGCTGCTCGGCTGCTTGTCCCGACTGTGTGAACTATAATATAACTAATATGTCTCAAGTGGCCTTTGGGGAGATGGAGTAGCACCTCTTTCACAGGGGTCTCGCTCGCTAATGATGACCACCCACTACAGCAGTGTCTGGCCCGGCCTCTTCACAATCAACCCGCAGATACACGGAGCCCCTCGATGAGGTCAAGTGTACGGAGGGGGGACAGAGGAGCACAGAGGGCAGAGAATATCCATCACTGCATCATTCTCAGTGTCATGCAGTAGGAAACAGAGTGAGTGAGGATATCTGTGTTAGAATATGACAGAGAGAGGTAGGAGGGTGGGGGGTGAGGGGTCGGGGTGAGAGGGCGGTGGGATCTCTCTGTGCTCCTCTGCTTTGGTTAAAAAAGACGGGCGGAAAAGATCAAAAGAGAGTTGTCTTACCTTGGGTCCAGTCATCAGGAAATTATTCACTGACCTGGAAAAGAAGACAGCTTATTCACTCAGTGAAGCTCAGTGTCCTTCACAAATTCCTCTGCTTAACATCTCATTAGTGCGCTTTGTAACATGTTAACTGTGACACCGGCGAGCATCCGAGCCGTGGTCAGCCACGGAGAAACTCAGCGGAAGGAAAGACAAGTTTTTCATTCCTGGGAATCAATGGAATTCTGCTGGAACCAAATGTGAAATCAGTCTGGTTTATGTTCATGTTTGTAAATAAAAGAAGCAGATTTTAGAGATGAGGGTCATGTAAAAAAAGGTGTTCAACGTGTTCTAAATTAAGGACCCTTAAAACAGGTAATACATTTAATCACATGTTTGCAGTAGGATGAAATACATAACAATATATATATATATAAATATATGTATAAAGCAGTCTTAAAAGTAAGAAAGAAAGAGAAAAATAAAAGATCAACTGACTCAGATTGAAACACATTCGTCTTAAGGACTTTAATTAGGAGATTAATTATATATTTTTCTAAAGTTCTGATTCTGTGTTGTGTATTAATCCAGCAATGTTTTCAACTTACACTTTAAACCAAGTTGTATCATTTACATACATTTGTCAAACTACAAGATATTTGTCACTGGTGAAAAAAAAAAAAGAAGAACTTAAACCTACAAAAAATACAAAAAAATACAATACAACAAAAATTAAATACTGGAAAAAAAGTCACATGATTTTATATATATTATATTACATTATTTATATTAGTGAATGACTGAGCGCAGTGGCTGCAAAATAAGAAAGAGTCGACTACAGAGGAACAGTCTTGGAAGATGACGTTTTGGAAATTCTTGATCAGATCAGACAAAACTAGAACTGTTTGTGGAGAAGGAAAAGAGACGTTTGTGACAATAAGCATCAGCAACAAATCCCGGGTGTTGGATCTTCATTTGCCTTGGAACCAAATCACACCTACAGAGGTTAGTGATCTATCTCCAGCAGCCCACAGTTAATGCTATTGAATGGGCAGCACAAAGGCCCGCGACTTCAATCCCATAGATAATCTGTGGAGTGAAGGCTCCACAGAAGAAGAACATCAAATGTAGAGGAGCTCCAGAGATTTACCAGCTCAGAACAGACAAAAAAAAATACTGAAAATACTGCAAACATCTGGAAATAATACGAAAGAAAAAAATGTCCAGATACAAAACTGACCAAAGAAATGAAGAGCGCTGAGAATTTGGACCGAGGTGTTTTTTGATTTTTGGTAAATACGTTTTATTTCAATTGATCATTTGACAAACAACTTAAATAATGTGAGCTTTTAAATTTGTAAAAAAAAAAAAAAAAATCTAAAATTGCAGATTTAAGCTGTAATACCATACAAATACAGAGAGAGCATTATTCATATTTTATTCTAATATTTTACAAATAATGATATTAATTATGCTGTTTATAAATGGAAAAAATGTTAAAGAATATCTGTCATTTGAATCATGAAGATTCTGTTGCCTTTTTAAAAAAACATTTGTCATCAAGTGAAACAACATAAATAAAACATGAAGAAAAATAGACAATAAAAAGGACGTTGACCAGACTCACCAGCTGCAGCAGGACCTCATGTGTGCCAGCAGAATGAAGACGTAATAGAAAACCTCCAAATGCATGAACATGCTGGCAGGTGAGCGGAGGCCGAGCCCTGTCCAGAGGCTGCACACGGTCTGAAGGTGGAGAAGAAAGTGAGCTGCCTGCACATCCAACCTCACTTCAGGGGCTTCCACCATCCAGGGAGGGGGCTCTGAAATGGAGCCGCTCTCGTCCCAACAAGAGATTATCTGCTTAATTAAAGATTTTCCCTCTTCTTAAAGCTCCTGGCCAATCAGCGCTGGGGCTCGGAGGGGAGAGTGAGATGATCAAACGGGGATCCCCGGGCCTTTAGGGCCGGCCATCGCCGGCTCCCCGGCCTCCATTCAGCAGCGCAGGGAGATCGGCTTAATCCTATAGGAAAAGTGTAACAGTGACCCCCCCC